GGGCTGCTGACAGGATATTTACCTAATTGGAAAAGGTGGGGAAAAAAAGACTAGAGGCAGAAAACTTGGCCAGCTCTGTCCTCCTTTGCCCAGGTGCACTTTTCTCACACTTAACTGGAATGTGCCAAGCTTGGCCGATGGACAAGTGTGTCACGCCAGGCAGAAAGTGGGTGTGTATCTCAGCAGCCAGGATAAGTGTTCTTGCTGGTGGAAATTTGTGTGACCTGGATTCTGCAAACTCTGTATCAGTGTTTTCAAAGTTGACCACTCAGCACCATCCTGGTCAAATGCTTGTCTAATCTTTTGCAAGCCTCCAGTGATGGAGCACAGCACAGCTAGCTTCAAGCTGCTCCCCTCTTTTGTGCTTGTCTTGCTCGGTCAAGATCAACCCTTCACTGTTTGGAACCCTGGATGTTGGGGAGGGGGGGGTCCAGCCAGCCAGCCCCTCCCTCCAGTCCAGACCAATTTTCCAGGGCTGGACCTGAGCTCCCCCCTCCCCCCACATCTGTTGGCCAATTTGGGTGAGCAGAAAGTCCTTCTGTTTCAGAGCTAATCTCATCAGCCTTCCTGGTGGCTCCATCTCAGCGTCCTGCTCCCGCTCCGGATGTGCTCCCAGCTCCGAATAATATCAAAAGCCATCAGATGATTACCCTGGGTCATGCATTTTTCCATTTACTGTAATAAAATACTGAAGAAACAAAACAATTTAAAATTCTAATAAAATTCAAAGCCTATCTTCGGCAGCCGGGATGATTCAATTATTTGGCTGTTATTGAATGCAAAGTCAGGGAAATTGAACAGCTTGCAAGACGGAGAGGAGAAATTTTTGCTCCTGACAGGGATTTGGGGATCTTTTTTCCCCCCTTCCACCTTGACAAATACGAGGAGACGCGATGCGATGGAGACAGGAGGAGCTGGTGGTGGAAATGAAACGCCTGCCTTCTCCTCTGATATTTATCCAGGGAGGTTTAGCTTCCTAAAAAAAAATTACAAATTATAAATACATATTGATACTCTTGCATTTTCCTTGCTGAAGGCCTGGAAGCAGTTGACAGAAAGAAAAAACAAACTACATAATAAGGTACTTAAGTTGAAACAAAAGAAGGTTCAGTAAACAGGCAGTTTGAAGGATTCTGGCTGGCTTCATGCTGGGTAACTTTGCACTGCAGGTCACTTCAATGTGCTTTTAAAGTAGGTATCACTTTAATTAGAATGGATTAAATTGGGTCTTAACTCAAGCTTTTTCTAGGTTAATGGGCTTATGAAAAGACTTTTTTCTAAAAAAGAAGTATTTAATCTTTAACGGTGCACAGACTTCGACCTGCTTCCTCCCCGTTCCATACAAGCCTGCGTACTCATTAATGAAAGACGTTAAAAACATTTTAAATTAAATATGGCAGGGATTGGAGACCAGTCTCAACCCTGTTATAATACCGTTGCCTACTGAGGATTTTGAAAGGTTGAGGATTTTTTTTCCTGACGGTTCTTCACACCAGTTTGGGCCCTGATGCTTTTCAAGTTAGGCAACTGACACTCCTTTAGGTTTCTTGAAAAGGCAGGACTGACTCCTAACAAAACCAGGTCATTCATACATCAGCTTTGTCAAGTGGTTTTAGCAGAATTAGAAGAGTTTGTTTTTGAAAAATGGAGTAATTCTAAAAAAAAGAAGCAGCCAGTTGGGGAACTGTGGAAGGAAGCTGGGGGGGCTGCATTCTGGCTGCTGGTGCCCGGCTGGCCTCTCCCAGAATCCCCCAGACCCAGCCTGGAAGGCAGGTGAGAGCAGACGGGAGTGGACTTCAGGGAGAGCCCCCCACCCTGGCCCAGGGAGCAGCCCTTGCCCCCGGCTGGCGTGGTGGGGGGCGAGGAGCAGGCCAGCCGTGTGGGCCAGTGGCAGCATGGCAAGGCAAGTGGCACAGTGGTGAGGGTGCCATGAAGGGAAGCAATTACGGTCCTTTCGAAAGCAGTAATTACTGTGGGGAGGGAGGGGGGCTTGCCAGCCCAGCTCCGAAGAAGCGCTCCGGGAGCCCCACAGAAATTGGTTCCTCTATCATTTGCGCAGCAGGGCGCTCAGCATCCCCCCAAGAGGTGACAACACGGGGAATTTGTGGCTTGTCATATCTAGTCCCTGCTTGTGCTCAGCAGTGACGGAGTTACTCTCCCTCCACCTCCGATCCGTGAGGGATGGTTTGGGGCTGTGGGGGGCATTTTCTGCCCTCTGGAAGCCAAAGGCAGCCAGGGGGAGCTGGGGACCAACCCGCACTGTGATTTTGAGGACACAAACGGAGGCACGGGGGGGGGGAGGTGGGCAAATGGCAGCTGCAGGATGGCTGGGGCCTCTTTCCACATGGGCGGCTGTTCCCCTCCTGTGCAGGCAGCCCCTTCCCCTGCTAACCAGGAGCCACAGTGTTAGGGCGTCAGGGATGCCATCACGTCAGGGGCCAATTAGTGTCACTGTTCCTAGAATGCTGGCAGGGCTTCCCTCTCCCCCCCCCCGCCTGCCCAAGGGACGCTGGGTCATAGCGGGAGCACAGAAGTGCCCCCTGTGCCTGGCTGGCTGGAAGATGACCTCAGCAGCCCCAAGTTGCTCCTCCTGGCTCTTGGCAGCCATGCCAGGGGCTGCCCCCTGTCCAAGCATTGCCCCGGGCGCCCCCGAGGGCATCAGGCCTGGCCTGCAGGCACAGCAGGAGGGGGAGCATTGGCTGTGAATGGCCTCCCCCTCTGCTTCACTCGCCTGGACTGGGCTTCCACGTGTGCCACCCTCCTGCCCGAGAATGACGTGGTGGCACACGGGCGTTTCACGGCAGCAGCTGAGTGCCTCGCCTGTTAATCGCGGGTTTCCATTAAGCAGCAGTCATTGAAAAGCTACGTTTGCCAGGCATCCCCCATGCCATTAACATGGAGGCTTTTTACAGGTGTCTGGAATAAGCATTGTTATTAACCAGGCTATTAAGTCAATTAAAACCCCGTCCTTCGAGCTGGGTTTAATGTAGCCACTGGCGGAGGAGGGAGGGAAGAAGGGACCGGTTGCTGTTCTGCCACAGCACAAGCGGGCTCTGCCTTGGTGCCCAGAGGGGGGGTGGGCTTGCAGATGGGGGGGCAGGAGTTGGCAAGCACGAGGGTCCGACCCTCGCTTCTCTCTTTTCAAGGCACCGGTACTTGCCAGCGGGACCCTCGTGTTGCAGCCCCCCCCCCTTGTAGTTTTAGGCCTGCGGATCCCCTCCCTGCCACCCGTCCCAGACTTTGCCACCTTGGAGAAATGCACATTTGACACTTCAGGGCGTGAACCCTGCCCCCTCGGTTGAGAGAGTTGGATACTTCTCGCTGTGTTTTATTTCCCTGGACTCTTTGCAAATTCTTTTTCTATTTACTTTTTAGCATTTTTTTTTTATGATTGCAAACTGCCTCCGAAGCAGATCTTAGCCACCTTTGAAGGAGCCAAGCAGTGGCCTAGCTTGGTTTTAGAAAGTGGCAGACGGGCTATTCTGAGCTTGCTTTCAAAGATGAGGGTGAAATCACCAAGGAGCCAAAATAGGATTTTTGATCAACACCTTTTCTTTGGCTGCTGCCTTTCCCAGCTGAGTTTGGGGTGACAGACTCGGAGGAGGATTTTGTGGGCCTGTAATTCTCGCTTATTCTTTGCATCTTCCCCAAACCCTTCCTTTTCCCACCTCTCTTTTCAGATGCAGCCTCTTCAGACACCTAATTTATTCAATCTATTAGATAGATTTTGTAGATTTAATCATTTTCACAGTTGGTGGCTCATTGGATACTCAAGATAAACTCCAAATGAAAGCATAATGGAAACAACAAATGAGCTTTCACACCCGAGACTAGCTCAAGAAGGGAGTTTGAGAGAGGCAGAATCTCCCTTTCTCTCTCTTCCCCCCCCCCCCCAACATTCTCCTCCTTGGAGCTGCCTTCTGCTGACTACAGTAGGTTACCACAGTTAATTTCACCAGTTTTGTTCATCTGTAAAATTGCATAAAAGTGACATTTTTGTGCTCATTATAAGAAGTGCTGATTTATAGCTGGCAAATGGATTTTTTTCTGTTTTTTTCCAGTGGAGCTCTCATAGCGCCGCAAAGCACCCATGAAATTGCTTGTATAATATGGTTTAAATCCAATCTTTCAGAGCAGTGCTTCCTCCCCCCCTCCCCCCCTCCCCGTGTAAAGAGACATTTCCACTCTTCCCGCATAGAATTACTGCCGCCCTCCCATAAACAACCTTGGAAGTCCAAAAAGAACAGTGGGTCGATCTTTAAGAACATGGAATCTGTTTGGAAGAATGAAGACAAATTGGCTTCCTTTAGAAATGATCAAACAAATTGAAGGGAGAAATACAGTGATTGGATTACCTTGAGTGGCTCTGGTGCTCAACAGAGCCTCCACCAGCAGGGGCAGGATACCATAGAAGAAAAGAGAGGGGCCACCCAGCCTTGATGGCTGGATATCTAATACAGGTTTGCTGGAGCCGGTGGGGAGATTGATGCTATTAGATGAGACGTTATCCTACGGCGTGCAGTTGGGGCCATCAGCCGTCACTTCCAGGAGCAAATTCTGCAGTCTCCTTTGGTTTCTCAGCTGAGCCGAGTCAAGGGACGAGGTCTGGAGGTTCCCCTTCTTTCTCCCAGAATTGGGGAAGAGACGGTATTGATCAAATTGTTGAAGGAAAACTCTTCATCAGTATTTAAGCTCAGTGGGCTGATTTTGCTTGCTCTAGGGTACTTTGCATGCAGAAAACGCTGTCCCTGGATTACCCCGTGAGGACAGACCAGCTTTTATTTTAGCTCAGTGTTTCCCATTCTTGGCAAGGACGGGTGGACTTCAGCGCCCAGAATTCCTCCGCCAGCCACAAAGTCCTAAAGTTGCCAAGGTGGAGAAAGGCCGCTTAGCTGAAGCATCGCTGCGCTCAGTGTTAGTTGTGCAGAGAAGGCTCTAGTGACCTCTAGAGGGGGCTACCAGCATTGCAGCATGTCACCTGTCTTCTTGGTCTCTCCTAGGTGAAGCCATGGCTCCCGTCCGCTCTCCACGATACCCCAGCCCGGCTGAGCTCGACGCTTATGCGCAGAAGGTGGCAAACAACCCTCTCACCATCAAGATCTTCCCCACCAACATCAGGGTCCCCCAGCACAAGCACCTTAACCGGACGGTGAACGGGTATGACACGATGGGCCAGCGCTACAGCCCCTACCCTCTGCACGCCAGCAGCTACCAGGGCCTCCTGGCCATCGTGAAGGCGTCCTCCGGCAAAGGGGCCGTGAAGAGCGCCGAGGGCAAGCGCACTAAGATGTCCCCTGCCCACCTGGCTGTAGCCCCCTACTCAGTGATGAGCACTTTAGCCCCCGGGCCGTCCTGCACAGCCCAGCTGAACTATCCTGGTGGCCAGAAGCAGATGGAGGCGCCCGTCCCGCCCAACGTCACGGTGGCCGCCTCGGTCGTCCCGCACGCCGGCCGGAGCTTGGTGCTGCCCCAGGCCAACCTGCCCTCCATCCAGAACATTATTTTTCAGATCAATCAGCAGTGCCAGGCTCAGGCCGGCCAGCAGGTGTGCCAGGGGGTGGTGGTGACCAGCCCCAGCCCGGCCAAGCATGGCGCCGCGGGCAGCTTCACCACTATGGCTGCGGTGGGGGCAGCAGTGGCTTACGCGGGGGCCGTGTTGCCGGATTGTCGGAAGGGTGCTGAGCTGGTGACTGGCTCCAACCTGGGCAGTGGCCTGGTGGGACCCAAGCCGGGTCTTTACCCGGACGGCATGGATTATCTGCTGTGGCAGCAGAAGCAGCAGCCGCTGCGGATGTACAGTGCGGGCAGCGGGGGGGCCGTCAGCAAGTCGCCCGAGGTGTGTGCCGGGGTCTTGCGTGCCCACCCCATGACCGGTGCCACCGCCGTGGACAAAGTGAGCTGTTCACCGTTGAACTGCGTGGGCGTGCAGGGAAATTTCTCGGTGGGGCAGTACTTCGCCCCTGCTTGGAACAGCGTCTTGGTTACGCCCAACAGCAGCGACTGCTTCAATCCCCAGGAGCTGCCCACCGGGGCCCGGGACCTGGGCCTGCACCCCTCGGAGGGGCTCCCCAGTCTGCCCAGCAAGGCGGTTTGCAACACCTCCGTCCTCAGCAGCAGCCTGCAGTCCCTGGAGTACCTGATCAACGACATCCACCCGCCGTGCATCAAGGAGCAGATGCTGGGCAAGGGCTACGAGACGGTCTCGGTGCCCCGCCTCCTGGACCACCAGCATGCCCACATACGCCTGCCTGTCTACAGATAAGGGCAAAGGTGCCCCCGGGCCGGGCTGCCTGTGATGGGGCACAGCGTTGGTCTGTGTGCTTCAGGAAGGGGTTTTATGGCTAAGAATGTGAACAGGGAGATGGGATCCCATTTTGCTGCTAATCTGGGGGTGCCCTGGGGGACGGGAATGGGTGTGTGCCTGCCAGTGGGCACTGCTAGCCGGACTGCCTGGGAAGGGGGCCCCCGGTCCTCTTTCTGCCCTGGGCGACAAGTGGGGGGCATTTGAAATGCATTGTGACTGGGGGAGGGCAAGGAAGGGTGCAGACTCCCCCAACCCCTCCCATTAATCCAGGGGGCTTAGCGATTCTGCCTCCTTTCTAGATGAAGTCTGTAACTTGCACTGTTTCCATTTAAAGCTAATAATTGGGGTGGGGGCGAAGGTCTGGAAGCTGTCTAAAGAAGGAAAAAAAAACACTTGAAAACTTGAAGTGACTTTTTTTAGTTTGAACCTGCTGTACAGTTTTTGGCTGCTATAAGATGGATTTTCCCACCCCTCCATCACATCAGCATTACCCCAGGAGATTTCTGAATTAAAACATTATTGTTATTCTTATTTCATTTTTAATAGCAGTATTTCATTTCATTACTTGTCTGCGTGTGAGAACCAGGAAGACCGTGTTGTGGGGGGATATTTGCAGAAGAGAGAGAGAGAGACAGTGTTGAAAAGGAGGAGGGTCTTCAGTCCTTTTATTGTAATCCTTGCTTGGGATCCACCTCTGTAGCATCTGGCTGCAAAGAAGGCCCCCGGGGGAAACTAAGTCCTCTAAGGGTCAAGGGTCACTCCCTGGGGTTCCCCCAATCCCCAGCTGGGATCTGGCCATTGAGTCCTTGCAGGCCAAAGTGATGCAGGGCTGCCAGAAAGTGTGGGAAAGCGAGCCATTCCAGCCCCTGGTCCCGCTCTCTTCCTGCCCAGACTGAGTTCTAGACATGGGGATCACCCGAGTGGGATCCAGTGGGTTCTTCCGCAGGCAGCTGCCTGAGCACCCAGCCCCCTCCAGCGTGTCCAGCTGCAGCCTTCCTTAAAGGGCTCCAGGCTCTTAGCGTTTCCCATCCTTTCATTTCCGCCTTCAAAAAAGAAGGAAATGCAGCTTCTAAAAAAGTGTTCCTTTCGCTCCGCGGTTGCCGTGGTGGAATTAGGAGTTTGATAGGTTTGATGCCAGGTGATCTGCTTTGCAGGTATTTCAGATTTTTCCTGTTAGAGAGAGAGAGGAAGGAGGGGAGGGGGGAGGGGGCTCCAAATGCAGAGGTACTGTGTCCTTACCACCTTTTTCCAGCACTAAGTGCATTTACAAATAACCTGAGAATGTGTTTTTATACGAAAAAGCGACCATTATATTCTACTGTGACAAGTGCGCTCTGCACTGTATTGTTTTGAAAATGAGAGAAAACAAAAAGCTTGGAAAAAAAACCAGAACCCTGTCTCAGAATGTCTGTCTTTTTTCTCTTCCCTCCCACCCACCCACCCCTCAAAGAAGACATTAAATCTGGGCTTTCATTGGATCGACGGTCTGGATCGTCTTTGCATGCCGCTCTTGCTTGAGCCCTGATCGGAAGAGGGTCCCCAGAGGGGAGGCTGGGGGGTCCCCTGGCTGGGAACATGGACCAAGGAGAGTCTCACTTGGGGAATATGTGGTGGGGCAGTTGGATGTGGGGGCTGGGAGGCTGTCTTCCTCTTTGGCTCCCGATCTTGGGAGGGGGTCTACTCTTCCCCCATGGCCCGGCCAGCTGTGAAATGGGCCTCCTGCATTGGGAGTCCGGTCAGCCCTGCTCAGTCGGCCACTGCCAGTTTCCAAACGGGCAGGGTAAAAATTGGAGTTCAGGCGTAGCCAGGGCCGAAGGCTGCCTCTCCCCCACCCCCTGAGCCTCAGTTTACTGCTCTGAAGCCCCCCAAAGGGCTCGACGCCAGCTTTGCTGTGCGGGTTGACTAGCAAAGTGTGCAAGCTTCGGCGTCTCACTGCTCAGGTTGGCAGGCAGAACCGCTTGGCCTTTCTGATTGCTCCTTGGGGCCACGCTGTCACTCCGAGAACCCCCGGCAGAGAGGGCAGGTCGACGTGTGGGCTGGTGTGGAGGCCGGTGGGACCTCTGCCGTGGCCGCATTTCCTTCCGAATGGGCTGACCGACTGACCACCTCTTCTGAGCGACGGGCAAGGCGGCCGCCAAGAAAATTCTCATCCAGTGTGATAAATGAGATTAACGCGGGAGCTGCGATTCCAGCCCTTAATTACAGGCTGTCGTAAAAAAGGTCCAGCCATACATCCAGTGGTGCATCATCTGTTGAATGCCTGCCTGTCTCTGACCTTGGGAGGAGCAGAAAACCTATCAGGTACTTCAGCAATCTGGTGGGGTTTGCTGCCCTCTTGTGGCCCAGATCCCAACCTGCAGAGGAAGGAAGGAAGGAAGGAAGGAAGGAAGGAAGGAAGGAAGGAAGGAGTACAATGCAGTGGGAGGCATCCTCAAGAGCCAACCTCAGTCAAGACCAACTGGGTAGCGCAGGGGTATTGCAACCCCCCTCAAAAGCATAAGAGTACAATAGAGATGCTTTGGCTTTTATTACTAAATAAATAATTCAATAAAACCTTGTGCAAAATGATACTATCAGAGGAGACTCACCGTCCCCAGGCAGAGTGAACACCTGAGCCTGCCTGCGTGTTTTCGGACCGCAGGGAATTCACGGGGAACTGGGAACGTGCTTATATCTTCAAAGGAGCCGCTCTGGACGATTGCCTGGCGCCTTCTTAATAGCGGCCCTTCTGGAAGGCTCCTCCAGACTCAGCATTCAGAGCCTCCTTCCTTTAAGGACAACATTCTCAGCTCCTGAGCCACCTCGGCCTCCCTCCGTGCAGAGCTGCCCTTGTGATGCACAAAGCGGCCACCTAAACCCAGGTTTCCAGTTTCTCTTTACAGGAGTGTTTTTAAAAGGAATGTTTTGTTTAAAATGCGAGAGGCTGGACCTCTCTTGTCCCGTTCAAAGTCAGGTTCGTGGGAAGCAGGCTGATCTCTCTGGCTGTGGGAGCCAGGAGGCAGCTCCATCAGGATCCCAGTTTGGGAGGGTCCGGTGGGGCAACGGGCTGTCCCAAAGACTGGAGGAGGGGGCTTGGCAGCTAGATCTGAGCCTCTTCCTTCCTCCAGCTGTGAGGGTAGCTGGGCTTCTGCGCGTTTGCTCCCGCTGAGCGCAGGCTGTCCAGGGGCACCACCACCTCGTCCGGCTGAGAATTTTTGTTCAGCTCCACCACGCGAGGCACCACCGTTGACCAGCGATCTGCCCCACACCAGAGAGAGAAGGGGGTGTCATTGGGGGAAAACAAAGCCAAGATGGGGGCTGGAGGGTGCAGTGAAGCCCGGCCTCCTTTATATGAGCATGCTGCCTGGGCAGCTGCAGCAATGGAGCCCAGAGCCCCAGCCTTCCTGAGGGGAGCAGAAGAGCCACCCGGCTGCCCCCTCACCTCTGCGCAGGCGCCCCACGGTGTGGGAGAAGCCGTAATACTGGTAGGTGTCGTTCTTGCCGGGGTCCTCATTGATGATACCCAGGTTCTGATTCCAGTGAGACCAGTTCACCTCGTCCACTCTGCAAGGGGAAAAGCACCCCCTTTGGAGATCAGAATGCTGGGGGGGGGGGGGCAATCGGAAGGACCAAGGGATCAGCTGACCAGCAGGCAGTCAAGCCCTTTCTCTGCCATGCTGAGTCTCTTGGCTCAGGGGGTACTTTAAATGCCATTGACCTGCCCAGGACTCCCCAGTAAATGCCTGTCTTGGGGATCTAGCTGTGAACCCCAGCTCAGGCTGGGGACTCAGGAACCTTTTACAATTTAGAGAAAGGATCAATGGACGCAGCCATCCCAAAGTCCTTCCAGATCAGAAGAGAAAGGGAGAACCTGTTAAGAGACTTCGAACTTCTGAGAGCAGCTGGATGTTCTCCAGATGTGGAAGGGGGGCTCAGAGAGGCTTCCATGACCATCTGCAGCTCCTCCAAAAGTTGGGGAACCAATAAGAACAAATAGGGGCTGATTCTGCACAGCTGGACTGGGGCCCCAATTCCCTATTCCTCATCAAATAGGGTTGATGATTACGGCCAGGACTCTGGGGGTGTCTCTCTACCTGAAGCACCACCTTCGGTCAGGGGCCCCGTCCAGAGACTTCCCCACGGTGACCATCTCTCCCGAGCGGAAGGCTTTCCGGACAAACACGGGGAAGGAACGCTCAATGTCCAGGATGGTGGTGGCCCACTAGGGATGGAGAAGACAAAGGAGCCTCAGCCACGCTGCCCTCCTCCACCTCCAGGGCTCCCTCACCCTCCTAAGCCCACCTACCTGGAGCTTCCAGATCTTCTTGCTTTCCTTGGAGACCTGCCCCACCGTCTCCCCCATGAGGGCGATCAACATGTTGAGCAGGAGGACGAAAGTGAGGATGATGTAGGTGACCAGGAGGATGACAAAGACCCCGGGGTACTTGGCGTTCTCGATCATCTCCAGGTCCCCCATGCCGATGGTCAGCTTGAAGAGGTCCAGCAAGAAGGTGCTGAAGGTCTTGCTGTCGCGGCAGGAGGGGTAGGCGGGCGCCGTGCAGTTGGAGCGGTCCTCGCGGCAGGACTCGGCACTGGAGCAGGGGTTCAGCAGGGAGACCAGCGCTGCCGGAGGGGGCAAGCCTTTAGCAAGGTCCCCCAACACGCTCCCTCCTGCCACGGCTGGAGACAAAAGCCCGCCTGGCAGGGCTGGTGCCGAGCTTTGCAGGGCGAGGGACTTACCGGATGCGTAGCCGATCATGAAAAGGACGTAAACCAGGAGGAAGCGGAAAAGGTCTTTGAACAGGATCTGCAGAGAGAGATTGGCAGGTGAGTTCCAAGGCTGCTGTAGGTGGTCCTCGACTTAGGACTACGTGGGACAGAATTTTGATCTGTTGATCGTGGCGATGCTGCGATGGTCTTGTGAGTCACTTTTTCCACTCCTGTGGTCACACAAACCAGCGGTTGTGATTTGTGGGCCG